GGTTTCTTCAGACTCTTAACATTGTCAGGGATTCTAGAAATCATCTAGTTTGGTTGCCTGATTTTAAAGACGATTCAGCCAAATTTCACAGAGACAAAGTGACTCACCCAAAGCCCCCGGCGGGCTGTGTCACAAACTACACTCGGACCACGAGTTCTCACCTAGCAGGCGATACCTGCTGAAGGGGGTGGTCCACACACACTAAATGGGGTATTTTGAAGAAGTTTTATATCCGAGGCTCTTCTCGACGGGAAAAGACACATTCTGTATTATTCACATTATTCATCGCCAGCCGTGGGCTCAGTACCATGCTCCGTGTGTTAGATGTCACACCTCAATTAAGAGCAATCTCAGAATGTCATCACTCACCCTCATTTCTCAAACCGGGAGGTCAGGGCTTGATCTGGCTGGAGCTGGGGCGTCCTCGCCTGTGTACTTACACTGCTGAACATGACTCAAAAACAGACAGCGCAGGGAGGGCCAGAGGCAGGGCTGAGGAGGGAGTGAGCAGAGGGAGCTGAGAGAGGCTGCGGGATAGGCTGTCCCACGGCCAGCCGGCGTGGTGTGTCCCACCCCAGGCAGGACCGCAGAATTCCGATCGAAAGTCTCACCTGAACGGCGGCGACTGTCTGCTAGACAGAAACTGGGAGGCAGGTGGGACCTGAACTGCTGGCCTCCAGGGAGAGTCTGGAGCTCGTGAGGAGGGAGACGGGAGGACCTGTCCATCAGAAAATGGAGCCGAGGGACGAGACACTGAGAAAAGCTGGTGCTCAGAAGCCGGGCAGGAAAGACACGTGGCGAAGGGGGGCCCCTGCATGCAGGTACCACAGTCCAGGCTGCCAGCAGCCACAGGGTGAGACTGTCTGCTGCCCTGCCTTGTAAACCACCTCAGCCACGCTGCTCCTCCCTGCCCTCAGCCCCATTCCGAGGAGCGTGAGCAGCCAGAACATTCCACCTTGGTGGCCAAACCCTCACTGCCGCGCAGGTGGTTGGCTTCAGTCACTGGCCCCGGGCTGCAGGGCCAGGCCAGCACAAGCAGGCTGTAGGCAGCTGTGCCCGCTGCGGGCCGGCACAGGTGAGGGCAGGGACCGCTGGCCTGGGCATTCTTGGCCTGCAGGTGCAGCTCACCTGGCCTCACGGCGTCTGCTCTTGAGCTCACAGCCGCGGCTCCCAGGCTGCTCTGCTGCTGGAGGTGCCAGCCTGGAGGCCGTGGGAGGCCCCACCCGGCCCGAGGGACTGGCAGCTCTGGAGCAGGGCAGTCATGGCGAGGGCCAGCGGCCGCTGCAGCCCATCAGAGTGGCTGGGAGGCCGCTCTCCCCCATCACGTAGGGCAAATTGAGATTCAGAACTTGAATTTTAGTAAGTGGAAAGATAAGAGTGTAGGCAGGTCTGTGGGACTCCAAACCCCATTCTCTGTTCACCGCATGGCTCCTGAGCTCTGGGAAGCCGGAGTCCGCCTCCTGAGCCGGCTCGGGATGGGGCTCGGCCCTGGGTTATCGGGGGCTCTCTGGCGGCCTTCCCGTTCCCCCTTTTACCCGGCTTGTGCTGCCTTGGGACGCTTATCCAGGGCGTTGCCTTCCCGGATCCTCGTGTGAAAGCTGGAACACAGCCGTGTGGCTGGGTCAGAGGGGGTTGGTCGCTTCAAGTCTCCCGGCCCCGTGAGGGCTTTGCCCGGACAGATGGGGGCCTGGCAGCGTTTGGGCGAGGAGTGAGTGAGTGATCTGGCTTTGAATACTAAATGATTCTTCTGGCTGCTGTATTGAAAAAGATGCCAAGGGGGTGGGCAGGGAGGTAAGGCGGGGGAGGCTTTCCCGACCGTGGGTTGGCGTAGTAACCTAGAGGGAGATGAAGGCGACCGAGCCGACCGAGCCGAGGTGACGGCCATGGTGTGGTAGAGTGTGGAACGCCCATTCGTGCTGGTCTGTACTTCCAGAAACGACTGTCGTGTGTCTTCCGTGCAGGCGCTTTGCAAGAGTAGGACTTCGTGACCAGGTGTGCCCCTGTCTGCTCCTCCCGAGCCTCCACTCCCCATGTAAATGCCTCAGCGGGTGCTAGGCCAATCGCCCCCTCTGCCCCTCCATTCTGCTGTGTAGGAAGCTGTTCGCCAGCTGCTCTGGCCACTGCTGCATGTAGCTCCCCATACTCAAGGCTTTTACCTTACTGCTGCCCGCTTTTTCCTCTTTAAGCCTTCTTCCTTCTTGACACCGGACTTCTCAAGTCAAATTGCCTCAGGTTCTGGGTGCCACCAGCTGCACTGTTCCTCTTGCCCAGACCCCATGCCTTAGACAGCCGCTGCCGGGTCAGCACCCTCGCTAGTCCGTCAGCTTGGCATCCCGTCAGGGTCACTTTGCTCACGCAGGGATTAAAGCAACGACAGCCCTAGATGATGGGCAGCTCTCCAGTACTAATAAATGGTAGCAGTCGAGGACACACGTCGTGAAAGAAGAGAGCCTGCCAGGAGGCTGGAAATCGGTCCGAGCCCAGCCCTGTATTTGCCTTATTCTGCAGTCTGGCCCGGCGCATTCTGTTCTGGGGTGCCATCGAGGAACGAAAGGGACACTTGTTTTCTTTAGCTGTTTTTGTTTACAACAGGCTGAGTAATAACATGGATCATAATGTACTGGCCTGAAAGATAAGACCTACATTTCACTCCCATATTCGTCATGCCCTCTATAGACAAGCTAATAAATTTCAGAGTTAGTTCAACCCTGAACACCAGTAAACAGGTAAAAGTACATTGAACCTTTAATTTTTTTTTAAAGATTTATTTATTTATGCATGCAGAGCTGGGGTACAGGCCAGAGGTGCAGGGGCGGTGAGAGGCTTCACCAGAGACAGAGTGGGGAGCAGAGCAGGCAGATCGACGAAGTACACTGCTGAGGGGAGCAGCGGGCGGGTCAGGAGAGGTCTGCCGCGCCATGTGGGTCACCTTCGGGGCAGGCGGGGATCAAACTCGTGCGGAAGTGGCTTTAGCTCCTCAGTGCTGTGCTTTAACCCGCTGCGCCACCAGAGAGGGCCTTGAACCTTTCATTTTAAAATGTGAGAAAATATCAGTCATTACTATTTTCTCTTCAGCAGTGGAAACTGGGCAACTCTGGGGAAAGTTCAGGATTCACGGGGCCTCATCTGTGCGCTCACAGCTGCAGGGCAGGACTCGGAGTGTATCAGCAGCAGGGTTCACCTGCAGAGGGGTGGGGGAGCAGAGGGAGTTGGAGAAAGGCAGGTCTCCAAGGCCACAGATGCCCATATGCCCTACCCCACATCAGGTCCGCGGTGTCCAGCAGTCCAAGCCAAAAGCTGCTCGTGCAAGATGTCTTTCTGAGGCGGCCGGAGCTGGTGGCCCAGTAAGTGATGCACTGGGATCTAGCCCACGGTGGCGGGCACTGTGACTGCCTCTGCAGTAGCCAGGGGCACTAGCCCGAGGCTGTACCTGGAGGCGGGTGGGTGTGCCCGGGCAGGGGCCGTGGCTGGGCGTTGCTGCAGGGGCGGAGCGGTGGACAGCTCTTAGTGGGGTGCCCTTCGGCAGCAGGGGCAGCTCTTCACAGGCACCTGCAGAAGCAGAGCCAGAGGCTGGAGCGGCACCAGGTGGTCACGTGGTCGGGAGCCCTCAGTGGTCGGGGGCCCTCGGTGGTCGGGGGCCCGGTGATTGGAAGCCATGCGGAAGGCAGGAAGCGGGTCTAAGCGGCATCGCAGGAATCATATAGGGTTAAACTTTCTCCATCCAACTTACTTCCCTAAGTGAAGTGTCCTTTGGTTCCACCCATGTGTCCTTGGAAAGGATGAATAAAGATGTCATCCTTTATAACTAAGTGGCATTTGTGTGTGTGTATGTGGGTATGTGTGTGAGTGTGTCTGTGTCACCTGCCTTCTCCATTCATCTGGAGAGCACTTAGGTTTTATTATATTCTCAAGTGATTGTCTCTCCACATTCTGATGTACTAACCGTAAGTACACCATGTTTGCCAGAGTCTGCTGTTTACTAAGAACTATCTAAATATGCCGTTATCCTCATCAGTATAGGAAGGGACTACTCAAGATAATCTGGAAGTAATGGCTTAAAAATTGGCATCCCTCTCCATGGCCAAATAGGTACCTGAAGTCCTTAAAATAGGGCAGGTGAGGATGTGAGTGGAAGATGGGCATTGTGTGTGCTCATGAATACAGAAGGGAGCCGGCCAGTTCTCAAAGACTGCTCAGTGGCCCTGGAACATCAGAATCACTTGGCAGTCTTGTGAAATCTCTGGTTCTGTTTCCAGAGATTCTGGTCTAGTGAGTTACAGTGGAGATTGAAAGGCAAGGACTTCTTAAATCGAGGGTGAACCTCATTATTAGCCAAGCCTGGGCAATCATTAACAATATAGGAAGTTAGTGTAATTCTTTGATTCAGTACACCAGTTGTTTGCTATAGCATTGTGCTCAGCAACCTATGTGCCAGACTGGGGAGATCTACCAGTCTACACCCAAGAAGGTTAAAGAGGAAGCCTATTAAAATCAGGATGTGATTAGCTCTGTGTTGTGAGTTTATGGGACTACTTATTTGGTATTTGCTTTTCTTATTTCTAAGTTTTCTGGTTGAGCAAGGTTTCAAAGCGTCCCATGCAGTCTGTGTTTGTAGTTTACCCAACATGGAGAGGAACAAACAATGCAATTGCATCAGTGCACAGGTCATACAGAGGTTTTCTTTTTCTTTTTCTTTTTCTTTTCTCTAAAAGAGAGGCCACTTCGAGAGAGAGGTGTGGGAGCAATATTTATTCATGTTTGTTTCAAGTCACAAATTCTTTTAGAGCACCAATGAATTTACATGGTAGAGAATGTAAAACAGGTCCAATCCTAATTTTTACTTGTTTGGTTTTGGCAAGACTGGAAATCAAGCCATTGGCCAATGTTTATAAAAATTCCTAATCAACGAGTAACTTTATATGTAGTCAGAGAAAGACAGTTCTGGTACAATATAGATTTCCATCCAGTTTGCATTGTGGTCTGTGTTCCAGGCATACAGCTTACTCCCTTTTGAAAATCCTCATGGCTTGTACGCCTTCATACACATAAGTCTGAAAGGGTGAGCAAACATAGGAAGAATTTGTCATTAAAGATTAAGGCTAAACTAAGAATAACATTAGCTTTATAGCTTTGAAACGAGTTGGAAGTATACTTAAGGTGAATGCATTTTATATAGAAATATAAGTAAAATAAACCCGTTTTGGTTTGTAGTTATTTACATTTTCAGGTAGAAACCCATGTATGTGACCGGTGGCTTCATAAATGTGCATTCAGATTCACACATCCTTTTCCATAAATAGTTACAAGACAGTACATTTTAAAACAGTAAGATTTATGAGAAAAGTTACAACCTATTTACTGTAGGTTTAACTCAGCAACCACAAAAAAGATTACTGTGACGTAGTTATCTTTGTGCCAAATAGCTACAATCCTTTTGCAACTCACCTGGACCATCTCACCATTCACAACTTCTCGGACAGCATTCAGTTCATTTCCATTGTCTACCCGCTTGAATTTTCCAACAAGTTTTTCTCCCTCCAGGTTCCAAGTCCCCTATGTTAAAAAATAGAATTTTAAGGGTGTTGCGCATGTTAGGCGTCGTTCTAGCCTCTGTAGCTCTGCTTGTTGAGTCTTGCCAATGAAATGACATTGTCTCTGTTGGACAGATGAACAAAGTGACACGCTGTCCCACTCACGGTCACACAGCCAGGCTTGGATGTAGCTCTGGCATATTTGCTGGTCACCATTATGTTCCTCTCACACAGTAGCTTCCAAATGAAGCAGATGAACAGGGCTTCTCTTTTCTAAATGTTTCATGCTAAAAGGGCTGTGCTAACTTTAGTCATGGTTCTAATTGGTAAGGCTAGTAACTGTCCTTGCTTTAATTAGGTAATTGTTCTAGTAGTTAATCTTTGACAGCTTAGTTGTCATCACAGACATACATAATTTAACGGGAAAAATTCTAAGTCCAAAAAGGATTTTCAAAAATCAGTAGAAAAATTGGAGTCTCCTAAAATTTTCTCTTAAACATTAAGCAGTACTGCACCCCCCCCAACCCCTGGTGGTACAAATGGTTAAGTCCTAGCACTATGAAGCTGTGGGCAGCCACTGAAGCAGGAGTTCGATCCCAGGCCAGGATGCCAACCCACGCAGTTCAGCAGACCTCTCCTGTCTCACCCACTGCTCCCTCAGCAGTGTATTTCTGTCAGTCTGCCTGTTGTGCTCCCCACTCTCTCTCTGGTGAGTCCTCTCAACCACCCCTTCCTCCACCCACCCCTCTGGCCTATACCCCAACTCTTGTAACCATAATAAAATAAATCTTTAAAAAAAATTAAGCAGTATATTCCAGGACCTGTGCTATATAGCATTATACCATTCTCTGTCACCACGCATTTTCCCCTAGTATATTAATTTACCTTATTATTTTATTCATTTATTAAATGCCTATTAAGTTTAAGCTGCATAATTGGAAAACTTTGTGGCTGGTAGATAAGTAAAGTTGAAAACACTGAACCTTAGATTTCTTTATGAAATCTGAGTTTATATTAAGTCAGTCTAAGGATGTTTTTCTAGCTCAAATTCTTTACCGAGGTGGTGTAAAAATGAAAACATTGAAAACATTTTAACATTCTGCTAATTTGGGCACTATATAATGTGGATAAACTATGAACTGTTTCATTGCATAAAAGAGACCAGCATTAATTAAACCTTCCAGTGACACATAGCAGAGATGATCTTAGTATAGACTAGAAAAATCAAGAATGCATCGCTTATTAAAAAAAAAAAAAAATGGCCTTACAGAGAGTTCAGTTCCATCTGCCAGAGAGTAGTTAAAAGTTACACCAAGTTCAAAAACAATTTCGATGCTTCGAAATGTACTGGATTCTTTGACGGTGAATTTATTTCCATCCTGTGAGATTGTCAGTTTCAGATTGTCATGGGCTGCAAGCTTCCTTTTCACCACGTTAATACCTGTGAAGGGAAACAGGTCGGAGAAAATGGAGTCCAAGTGCCATAAAAAAAGTAGTTATGTGTTTGTACTCTGTGACTTTGCCTATGCATGAGACCATTCAGATTGTTTCTGCAGAGAAGCTTTAAGCTGGTCAAGTCCAGGGTACCGGCTTAAACTATTTTTTTAAAACTTAAAAACTAAATGACGCATAAAAGTGTAGAATCTTAGGTCTAAGCATTTTTAAATAAAGTCAGCTAGTTTGTGTTTCATCATTAAATCAATCAAATTCTAAAAATTTTGAATGAAGGATTAAGCTACAGTCACACAGTTATAAGTCAATGAAACTTTAATTGCACCTATACTTTACCCCTTTTAAAAAATACCTCTTTGCTTTATATAATAGCTTTTAAAATTTGAACTCCATAATTCTTTCTCTGACATCTCTGTCACAAAAATGTGGACATTAGCACATACTATAGTAAAATGCTCTATTCTGAGACGATACAAATTTAAACTTTGAATTCCTGAAATGTAGATATAATCGATGCAGACTTTAGAGAACATGACAGAAATGTGTGTGTGAGCTGTCAGAATATTGGGTTAGCTATTAGCATCAGCTAAATAAAAACTATAGAATCATAAGATTATTCCAAAGTTTCACAAGTCAGAAGAAATGATTTTAAATCCAATTTACTAGGACTGTGATTTTTGAGAAAACACCTTTCCATCAGTTTTGTATATGGCCTTTGTTTTCCATGCCTAGAATTCCTGTTTCAAAGTCTGTAAGGGAGGCGAGAAGAAGGACTCATCACATTGTCATTTTTGGCTCTACCAAAAAAAAAAAAAAAAAATTTCAATGACATAATCATTCACTGAAGAGTGAAAAGAGTATATCTTGATTTCTTTCTTGTATTTCATAGGACAGCATACAATATTCTTTCCTTCCAATGTGAGACAATGTATTCTTCATGTTAGAGGTTGTCATATGGTTTTCCCTACTCTGAGCCATCACTCATTATTGTAAACCCTCTTCTTCGCAACATGAGCCATTCCCTAAACTGAGACTTAGAAGTTGTTAGAGAACAAAATATCTGCAAGAAACCAAAGACAAAGCCACAGAAGAATTGAGTTCTTACCCATTTTCTCCATGAACTTGTCATAGTTCTCGTTGCGCTCTACCTTCCAGCTGCCGATTAACGCCATGGTCATTGAGTGGAGATGGCCAGCAGACGGTCTGAGGCTCAGGCCTGACTTACAGAATTTATTCTGTTTCTTATCTCCAAAATAACTTTATCTTATGATGTGGATGTTTAAAGTTCAAGAGGTCACCTAACTACATTCACACCAAAGCGGTCTAATTCCCCATGCTGTAAACTCCTTAACGCTCCACCTGAAATTCAGATGAATGAAAACAGCAGCATACCTAGACTGTCTTATCCTTTATTTGGGGGGCACATTTATTTCAAGAACTGGACTACATCTTATCTCAGGGTAGTTTTTCTGTGTTCATGTTCAAAGTGCACACTAAGTGCAGTGGAGGTAACAACGTAAAATGCCTATCATGGAACATATGGAGTTTGCCTATCAGTGACCTATCCCTGTTTTACAGTTGCAATTACCTTGTAAAGTCAGACTTTGTGACCAAACACCTCTGCAAAATTAATAGGACAGAGATGGAAAATTTCTTAGTCTCTTTCTTGCATGTCTTTTGGCTTGTGTTTGGGTTGCCGGGAGCTTGGATCGCTACCCAGGCAGCTGCCACGGCTTGTGTTTCATTTCTGGGATGGAGACAGGACACTGAGGAAAATTTCAGGAGGTGGACATGTGGCTGGGGACATGAAAGATCAGCTTTGAGAATCTCCTGTGGCCAGGCATCTGCTATGCCAAGGGCAAAGTCATTCCTTTGCTTTACTCTCACTCCCTCTCGTGGCCAAAGTAGGTAGGCAGAGTCTGTGGGCGTGTGGATGGAGGGCAGCCAGAAAGGAGCAAGAAGCAGAAAGTCACCATCTCCACTCGCCACTGCAGTGCGGTTCTGAGCTGGTGGAGAAAACACCTGAACTTCCCAGGAGATGTGCGATTTGGATTCTTAAGTAGCTTGAAAAGAAAGACAAAGTTCTGTGAGTGAATAAGACTAGGGAACCTCCTGGAAACTAAGACAGGCTGTGGCACGTGTGCAAAGTATTTTTTTGAGGTTGAGGAAAGACATTTGACAGGACATCGGGGAATAGAATCATTTATTGTATCCATTGGGCACACTCTTTCAGTTGTCCACTTAAAAAGAAAACTGCCTCTAGCTCCATTATTTATTTTTTAAACACTAGTAGAAACTTCAGAATATACAAAAATGGGGGAGGTTGGCAGGAGAGCAATCTCAGCATGGTAGGCGAATAACAAATTCTTCCATTTAAACCCTTGTTTGATTTAAAAAAAAAAATCTTCCCTTTGTTTTTCTCTCCTCTGGCAAAGATAACAAACACCATATTACTTGGGAACCATCCCATAGTTACTGCATTTTTTTCCACTTACAGAAGAAAAGTTTATGGTTCCTCTTTGGCTAAGGACTAAATAGTGTCTCAGGTAGTGCACTGCATATGTTGAGCTGTGAATTGAACGGAGCTAATGATGGAGCTAATCTTAATGGATTAGAGAAATAGGTATCTGTGTGCTTGGAGCGGAAGTGTCCTAGGGACTTCGGAAATAGAAGGACCTCAGCGTCAGTACTGCCTCTCAGCCCTTGCTATCTCGAATGTGGCCAGAGCTCAGTCTCTTTGACCCCTGGGGCCTAATAACAGGTGTATAGACTCAGTAACTTACTCAGTTTTTCTTCTCTTTCCCTGAGAACGAAACTCAGACAGCAGTAATGAACTGGTAGAAATATCCTAGGTCTTAAACCACTTGGTACTTGGTACAGAAAAGCCATGTCTACAGCTGTTTGTTAGAAGGCCTGACAGCTGCTTATCTCCTGTCACTGACACCAGGGGTTCGCTTGGGCTGGGTGTGATTTGCCTGGTAGGGACAGCAAGGTGCATCTTTCTGCTCTGTTCTTAGAGCGATTGGAATTAAAGCCCCTGATGTAGGCAGGGCAAAGTAGAATGGCTTCTTACTGCTTCCTAACGTGACCTCGCTCTATCTCAGGGCCGCCTTCAACTTCCCGGGAGGAGCAGATTAGGGTTGGGAGAAAGCAACAGGACTCAAGCAAACCTGCTAACAGAGGGATGTGTTCACTGGTAGACTGCCCTGTGGCTGTAGCAGTGACCTACTCCAAGGTCACTTTGGGTCCCTATTCCTTCATATAGTGTCTTCCTTGAACATTTTTATTGAGCACATCAAAAATTTTTTTTAAAGATTTGTTTATTTATGCATTACAGAAGTGGGGTACAGGCCAGAGGTGCAGGGGCGGTGAGAGACTTCACCAGAGTCAGAGTGGGGAACAGAACAGGCTGACTGGCAAAGTACACTGCTGAGGGGAGCAGCCGGCGGGTCAGGAGAGGTCTGCCGGGCCATGTGGTCACCTCCGGGGCAGGCGGGGATCGAACTCATGCGGAAGCGGCTTTAGCTTCTCAGTGCTGTGCTCCAACCTGCTGCGCCACCAGGGAGGGCCTCAAATTTTTAATAGTTAGCCATCTTCATTCCCTAACTCTGTAGCTCCCCAATTCCTATACCTCACCAAGAAAGGTTATCAAGAGCCTCTGGGCTAGTTGCTCTGACCCCTCTACTGATGATATGGTTGGCCTTCCACTTGGGGCAGAGCCAGCACTTGACTTCCCGTTCTCCGATCACACCGGGGATTAGTGTCCTGAGGCTTAGGTGTGCATGTGGGTACAGGTGCTGTGGAGGAAGCAGGGTGTTAAGAACATGCACATTGCTGTAAGTCAGCATCCACCTACACTACGTTAGGATCACCTGTCAAGGTTCGATTCTTCACTGTCTGTGGACCTACCATAGCTGATGTCCCCGCCTGCCTCCCCTCAGCCCCTTCTCATAACCACTCTTGGTCTTGTAGTGTGAAAGGTGTTTGTTTGCTTCCTTTGCTTTAGTTTCTCTATAGCACATGAGAGTGGAACTGTGGGGTTTTGTGTGCTCAGTCTGACTGTCACACACACAGCAGCCTGAGTCCCCCACGCCGTTGCAGAGGTCGTGTCCGGTCTGCTCGGTTGTGTCCCGTCTGCGTCAGGACCCACACCCCTTGGTCCAGCAGCTGTGGGTGGCACATAGGTTTTTCCAGCTCTTGGCTGTTGTAAGAAATGTTGCAGTAAGCAGGGTGTGTATGTTTCTAGGAAATCATGTTCTCTTATGTTTCAGGTAAGTACTCAGAAGTGGTATCTGAGATCATGCGGAATTTCTATTTTTAATTACTTGAAGATTCCCCCTACTGCTTTCCATAATGGTTTATATCCCGGTGAACAGAGTTTCCCTTCTCTTCCTCTCCAACACTTTTCTTCTTTTTTGGTTAATAGCCAAGGAATCCCATTGTATGGCAGGAGGGAACCTTTCCTAGAGTCTTTTTAAAAATCTTATTTATGGGAAACAAACTTGGGCAAGACTTGTGTAATCACCGCAGAGTTTGGGAAGTCTGGTTTTCAATCCCAAGAAGTTTAACTTTCACACATCAGAAGAAAGCTGTGGTCTTATATAGTCTTTTAGGGCCACATTAGAGGAGGATTTGAAGGACAGATAGAAGCATCAAGCTTCCTTTCCACTTCTTACTCGTGAGTGGAGAACGAGGGAGAATTCTAAAGTTAGCCTACCACGCTTACTGTCTTCTGCTTTAACCACATGCCTCTAAATTTGGGGACATTAGGAGCCATTAATTGCCTTAGAATCTTGCGGTGGCTGGTTGGTTTTCTTCCCAGAAGGCTAAGGAGTTGCAGCAGTACACACGAGGGTTTCTGTGCAGAAGGGCGGACGCTGGAGCCCGAGCCGTAGCCATCCTACAGCGCCTGTGTGTCACCTGGGTGACCTCGTATTCAATCACGAGTCCTTAGTTCCTTCATCTTCTGCCTTGAGCTTTGTAATCTGCGTCTACCCCCAAAATAACGAGGTTCCTTCCAAGCAGATGTGCGGCTCATCTTCTAGGCCCCTCGGACCACAGAGGAAGAGGGTTTGCATTATGTCACAGCCACATCCAAACCATTAGCGTTCTTCCTTTTATTTAAAAAACAAAAGAACTTTTCCTTTGAGGTCATTCCTCATTTGGCTGTTGACCTTCCGGGCAGTTTATCATCGCTGACTATCAGCTGTTCCCATCTAGCACTATCTGTCATCTGTCACTGAAAATCTAGTCTCCTGGCTCATCTTCTGTGTCCTGCCAGCGCCCTGGGTGACCTCAAAGTCCATGCAGATAAGCCTCCTGCCGCACCCCATGCCGGCCCCACCGTCCCTTTACCTCCTCATCACTAGAGACCTTCCTTGACTTTACTCTTTCTTGGCATTCCTCTTCTCTCGTTTCCCAAATTTCCCACCAGCAGCTCTGCCTTAGCCAAGACGCCTGTTTTCAAGTGACATCTTCAGATCTGTTTCCGCGCCACACCATCTCCCTGGGCCCGCTCTGTTTTCAGGGTCTTGGTTGCCGTCACCTCGGCTCTAGAATTTCCAGGCCGCTCTTCTGCCAGGCACGTCCGTACATATTGCGCTGACTGCACCTAACTCAACATGGCTAGAAAGCAACTTTGCTCCCCCAGAGATGTTCTCTCTAATTTCGGTATCGGCGGGCAGTCTTGCCATCCCAGGAATCATTCTAAAGTCTTTCCTCCCCTTTATTTCTGCCATTTTCATCTTACCAACAAACCAAATCTGTTTTACTCTGTGGTGTTGCTTAAATACACCACCTTTCTTCTTGTTCCTAGGTAGATGCCTTCTCTCTCCTTAACCCCTGCAATCATCTCGTAAATGTTTTCCCTCCTCTAGGCTCCCACAATCCATTCCGCCAGAAGAATCACCTTCGGGCAAATCTGCCATGTCCTGTCTTTGCTTATGATCACACAGGGGTTCCCTCTGGCCAGGGCACAACTCTAAATCCCTTGCCTCTCCTCTTCACCCCCTTGCTCTTCTCTGCCCGAGGTGCTGTGACCCCTCAGCTCTCTGGTCTTTGTCCACCCTCTTTCCTCTGCCTGGAGCCGGCCCCTCGTCCACGTTCCTGCTCCCGGTTGGGCTGGTGTCCGTGCCGTGGCTCCAGTGGCCGCAGCGTGACCCTTCACTCTGTC